GTCTGCGGGGAGAGGACAGCTCAGACACGCACAGACAGCCTTATCACAACACACTGCAGGGACAGGGTCTGACCCCGGACTCCCTGCCCTTGGGTCCTAAGACCTAAGTGATGACAGGAGGCACATTAGGGCCAAATACACAGACAGGCATTGATCTATGACTCCCATGGCAGACATTCTACTCTCTGAGTCCAGAAGAGGAATAGGGGGTGGGCCGCAGGGCAGGCAGGGGCAACAGAATCAGTGTTAATTATCTTTCATTCCTCTATCTTCAAAGTTTAGCATTTGAAATGCAACACGTGCTGTGTCTATGAGCGTATAATGAACAGAGAGATAGCTGTACCCTCCACAAGGCTTTCCCGACCCCTCTGCCCGGATCCGAGAGCCCACAGTGTGCAGGCCTGGACGGGCGTGTGGGCACGAGCACTCACGCTCTTTCTTGGGCAGGCACTCGAGGGCTCGCTGCATCACACGGTGACTGGCTCCAGCTTGGCCTCTCCGCAGAAGAAAGGCGCCGTATTTGATCCAGACAGCTTTCTCCTGCCGGAAACGCTTCAGCATCCGGTTGTAGAGTTCACCAGCTTCCTGTGGGAAAGACGGGGCAAGCTGAGGAGAGGGTGGTATGACAGAGGAGGCAGTGGGCACCTATGCTCGTCAGAAGCTAGACCTGGGCTCACAGACGCCAGTCACTCTCTGGGCCCAATTCCAGATATGTGAGGGGAGAAGGCAGGCTCTCAGAGGTGAGGAGAACTCACGAGGAGGCCTAACAGGACGGGGAGCCTCCCTCCTAATCCTGCACCTTGAGAAGGTGAGAGTGACGAGGGCATGGAGGAGAGGCGGAGAGGGGCTAAGGGGCTATGTGGCCTGCTATCTACGACACCCATCAGCAGCCGAGCGATACACACAGGGGTCACTGCCCCTTCAGTCGGCCCCATGTCCCTAACACAGAGGCGGGGGACACGACTTCTCCTACTTGGAAGATAAGCTCGTTGGGCCCAGACGTCATGGAGCCAGCCTGGGGCAAGCCTGGACCCAGGGGCCGGGGTTCTCCCCAGAGACTTCCCTGCTGCCCCCGGGACGCCCAGGAGCTAGTTTCTGAGAGGCTGAGGACTGTCTGGTGGCGGGCCACCTGGCCCAGCCTCCTACCTGGAATTTCTCTGACTTGGTGTAGATGTCAGCCAGGTGGAGAAAGACCTTCAGCGGCTCATTGTACTGCACGGCCCGCTCGAAGACCTTGGTCAGGGACTCCTGGGAGCCGTACATGTTCTCCAGGTTCAGCAGTGCCACCCACACGTTCAGCTTCTCCTGCTCCTCTCTGGAGGGAGAGTAGTCAGCACCATCACCTCAGCCATGCGAGCCCCCTACTCCCATCCCTCCTCCCCAGGCTCCACCCATGTCCTCAGCTCCCACCCCCAAGTGCTGGCACTGAGGGGCCCTGTCCCCACTGCAGCTCACACAGAAGCAGGACCCCCAACTGTGGGTCTAGGGCACCCCTAGTTTCTGCCTCCACTCCCAGGAAGGAAGCTGACCAAATCTCAGACTGGCCTGAGCTCTGGGCTGGACAGAGCAGAATCTGCGGTCTGAGTCTCTGAACTAAGGGAATGATGTAGAGGGAAGCCATGGCTGTTCTCTAGTCTTCAGGAAACCTGCTCTACCCAAGCCTGGAAAATGGCCACTGGCAGGGTTTTTGCCCAGGTACATGGAGAGCTGTTTCCTCTCTTCTACTTCTGCTCCAAGTGGGGCACCTAACTGAGGTGCAGGGACTCGTGTAACTGTCAACCTTGGCTATTTCAGTGAAGAGAACTATAAAATATAAATGAGCAGATCTATTTCACAGACGGCACTCCTCTGAGAGAAAGCCAGTGAACCCAAGGGGCCCCAGTGGCAGAAACCTAAACCGCCGCGAGCCTGCCAAGGAGAAAATGGCCGAGAGGCGGCAGGGCAGACTCAGCCCAGAGCAGGGGAGTGAAGCAGGAACCTGAAGGAGATGGTCTTGAGTGCCCTCTCGGCCACAGCCCGGGCCTTCTCAATCTCCGTGGCCTGCAGGTGGAAGGCCATGTACTGCACCCACAGGATGGAGCTGTTGGGGGAGCTTAGTACGAGTCGGTCAAAGTCATCCGCCGACTCCGGCTGTCGCCCAGGGTCCATCAGCGCCTCCTCTATGCGGGCCAGCTCTTTCTCCGCCTTCTGCTTCTCCAGCTCCCTTTCCTTCTTGCTTTTCTTCTGCTATGGAAGGCACAACAGTGAGTGAGTGACCTGATCCTTAGACCCCGGGCAGGTCAGCGGTGAAAGCTAAGAACTGGCAGGGAAGTCCACGAGTCTATAAACACTCCCAGCCCAAGATGGCCCCAACGTGCCCCACCCAGGCCAGGACAGAGCACAGGAGACTGGTGTCAAGGGTCCCTGAAAAAAGGACAGGGCCCTGGAAAATATGATACCGTGGCTTGCTCTGGCTTCTCTTCCTCCTCGCTGTCTGAGCTCTCCCTGTGAGGTGGCAAGGCCGGGGTCAGAGAGTCCAGCCTCACGTCCCAAACGAAGCCAGAGGACAGCTGCAGCCGGGGTGCTTCTGCTGGCCTGGGGTGCTTCTTCTGGAGGGTCACAGGTACACGTCAGGAAAGCACTGGGTTCATGCCGCCCCCTGCTCCCCAGACACTCCCCCGCCACGGCCAGGCTAGGCTTCTTTATAATAATGACATAAAAGCTTTTTTTGTAAATAAGTAAACTTAAGTAATAATTGTTCAAAATTTTATGTGCACATATATACTTATGTCCATGTATAAAGCAGCAGCAGAGCTAAGACAGAGGTATGATGTGATCTGAGGGTGGCAGGGAGGTTACACCTAAAGTCTGGGAAGCCCTTCCACACTGTCCTCAGTTCCAGCAGTACTGTCCTCATGTCTCAGGGGACATAGGCTCAGAAAAGCTAAGCTGCCTTTTCTCTGCCCGCCCCACTAACTGAATTCAGCTCCACCCAATACACGTTGAATAGAACTGACTTTGGCAGCCCACCTAATAAGTCAAACAGGGGCCCTGTCCTCGGGAGCCTGAGGACTAGCTGAGGAAGCTCGTCACCCCATCTTTTCACACTGCACAGAAAATGAAGACAAGAGACAGTGCTAAAGACAGCTCGGCCCTCGAGCAACAGACCTAGGATGTCCCTCCCAGAGCGGCCCTTACTCCCCAGCTCAGCGCCGACCCTCACCCTGGGCGGCACACTCGGCTCCTCCATCTCCTCTTCCCCTTCCCGGTAATACACTTCGACACCACTGTCATCCTCCTCAGATGGAGCAGCTTTCTTTTGCTTCTTGTTCACGTGTTCCTAGGGTGACAGGCGGGGAGAGCCATGCTTCTTGCCCCTGAGAGCGCCCTCCAAGCCCCAGGGCAGCGCCCTCCCGCACCTCCTGGCAGCACCCAGCGCCCAGCAGCAGCTCACGCCGCCCTCAGTCCCAGAGGCTGAGGTCAGGCAACTGCCTGCCGGCTTCTGAGAGGCTCTCCCTTCCAGGTGAGGGGAGGCCACCTCCCAAGGGACGCACCTGCTCACTTCCAGACTCCGGGTGTGGCCGCTTGCCCGGCTTCTTTGCCTGCGGTTTCTGGGGCACCTTCTTCTCCTTGCTGGGCAGCTGCACCTCCTCCGGGCCCTGACCATTACTCTTCTCCTTCCTCTTCTGACTCTTCCTTTTCCCCTTCTTTTCTTCTCCTCTGTGGTCTCTCTCCTCTGCCCCTGTTTCCCTCTCGTCCTGCTTTCGGAGGGGCAGTCCTAGGGAGGCAGGAAACACGTCCGGCTTCCCAGTGTCGCGGGGGAGAAATGACAGCTCTACCAGGTCCCCCCGGTGGTTCACGCTATGAAGGGGAGATGGGGGCGGGGAGTGGACAATGAAGACAACGTAACAGGACAACAGGCACAGCAAGCAGCCTAGTTTTCTGCCTTGGAATCCATTCCGTTGCACACTGTACCGTGCTTAGTAGAAACATGCACAGGGTAGCTGTGCTGCCCCTTCCCCCCTCCATCCCCAACGACAGGTGCCTGTGCAGAGAAAAGCCTCCACATCTGTCTTTAGGAGCTGAGGGATTTATCTGATTACTGTACTCACCAGTACCTAAGCCATTATGTTTAAAATTTACCTCTAAATCTCCTCCCAGGGCTCCCAGACAAAGGGGAGGGAGAAGGAGGGTAGACATCTACCTTAGGACCTTGGCTGTGAGCAGCTTCCCTTCGGGGAGGTGTTTGTCATACAGGGTACTCTTGGCTGGGCTGTACTGGGACACGTGCGGGTACTGGGCCAAACCCATAACTGAGGGACCAAGGCTGACAGGAGACAGAGACAAGGGTCCTGTGGTTATAAATACAAAAACAGAGTCCCAGCCAAGCCGAGCACCTCCCCTCTCCCAGAGACCCAAAGTGTGACAGATTTACGACAGATGCAAGGTTCCTGGCATTCAATAAAATAAAGAGGGCTTTGTAAACTGGAAAAATTATTGAGCATAATGAAGATGTGACCAACAGTATTTTTCACCCCGTATCAGAGCATCACAATGTACAAATCACAAGCTGCGAGAAAGACAAGAAGAAAATGCGGATGCACAATTACAGCAGGGAAGGGTGGGACAGCTGGTGGCTGTGAACACTGTGATTTCACGGAACGTGTACAAATCCTGACCATGGACGTGCTACGTTTTTTGTCCAAAATACCAAACAAGAATAGTTCAAAACTTTTTTTAAAGTATACAGAAACTTGGAACATAAAACACTGGTGGGAACTCAGCCGCTCCTCCCGTCACATTTCCTCCAGAGACAATGAGGGGGGAAGCAAGGGCCACAGACCAGGACAGGCCCCAGGAGGCCCTCGGCACTGGCCCACTCCTGGGGCTCCACCTCACACACCTGAGGAGCACACCGGACGGCTGGACGGCCTTCACGTAGCCCCTCAGGAGCTGCCCTTTCTCAATGTCCTGGATGGAGTTAATCTCGGGGTCTGCTATTTTGCTTTTCGTCTCCGGGTTCGTCCTAAAGGAATAAGAGACTTATACACGTACCTCTAACCCCTTTTCCTCACCCTCACCCCCAACTCATCTGTGATCATCACGGTTGGCAAGAATATGACTCTGGACCTGTCAGAAGGGCATCACCTTCAGAGCCCAGCCCTGCTCTCTCCTGAAGTCCTATCAGCCAGGGATGTGTCAGTGCACTGGCTTTAACGGTAATAGCAAGCAGCTGAGCAAACCAGAGGGAGGTCAGACCTAAAGCTCTGGTCTCATAAACATCCGTTTCAAATCAGGACCTTGGGCCAGTCCTCTTCTCGGCACACTCACCCCTACTGCGGAACTGGGAGACTAAATCACCTCCCCTTAGCAGGGCCGCCATCTGGCAACCTCGAACTCCACTCTGGATGTCTGAACCTTTCCCTGGGAAACAAGAGCCTGAGCAGACAGGCTCGTCTACAATCTGAGTGTCCTCAGCTTTTCTGGTAACAACAGAGCAGGGCATAAGGTGTGAGCAGAGAAGCAAGCTGGGAGGCCCAAAGCTCTGTGTCAGGTCCACGTAGCCCCTCCTCAGTCCTGGGCTTCTCCCCCTAATTCTTGTCCCAATGACAGACACCCACCTGGACGATCGCAGCGACAAAGTCAACTCAGGATCCGTGGTGGACAGGACGTAACACCTGGAATAAGAGCAGAAGAGAAGGAAACGCTGAGCCAGCACCTTGGGAGAAGGGAGAGAGCCTCGGCTTCTTCTCCACAAGGCTGAGTGACAGGCAGAAGGAAGTGAGGGCTCTGTTCTTCATCCTGCTGAACCCTGCCGAGGCACTCGGGACAAGTTCCCTCTCTGGGCCTGAGTTTACTAATCTGTTTAGTCAAAACAACACTACCTGCTCTTCTTACCCAAGGAAGGTGCCGGGAGGACAAAAGGAGACATAAGCCCTCTGGAGGCCCATACAGCCTTGGGGTGAGTACTTAGGAGACGGGACCAGCTTGTGTCAGCGGCTGGGAGGGTCCGATCTCAGTGGAGACAGACTCACCATAGGAAACTGTGACAGGGGACAGCCTGGTACCACTGCAGACTCACAGCAGCAGTTCAGAGGAGGCCAATCAGTGAGGCCTGAGTACAGGAGGCTTTGGGTTTACTCTTTGGGTGGGTTTCCAAACTCATTTCATCTAACACGGCAAGTAGCAGCCCGAAGTGGTAAAGTATAGAATCTTATCAGCAGAAGGGATCTCAGCAGCAATATAGTCCAAACTCTCCCCGTGACAGGCATCTGCCTTTTCTACCAGGGTATCACAGCCCTTAAAGTAGGAAAGCACCTGGAGGGACTGCCTACCTTTAGGCAATTAACTTATTATCCACATTTGACAGATGAAGGAACTACAAATGAATGTTACTCATACGTTTAACTATAATAAATATATTTTTAAAAATATTTTGCTACAAAATCACACTTGCATTTTGTAAGCCTCCAGGAGACAAAGGGGAGATGATCCTGGATTTCTCTCTGACTCATTCTTTTTCCCCTCCTAGGCCCTGGGCATTTTTGTGCAGGTTAGCTCTGACAAGTCGTTGAGAATTTAGGCAGGTGCTGGTGACTGGGACACTCGAGATGGGAAAGAGAGATGACTACTCTCCAGTCACTGCCTCCTGAAGGCATCTGCTCCACTGCTGGCTAACTCTGATTCTCAGAAAGGCTGTATTGTACCATGCTGAAATCTACCCTTTCAATGTTAGTTTATTCAGGCTATCAAATGGTTTTAAAACTCTGACGTAGGTTCATTTGTGTGCATCTGAAATAGTTCATAAACAAAGCAACCCCAACTGCGAAAGATTACTGCTACCCTTTTATAGACAACACCTACAGATCAATTTTTTTTAATTAAGAAGATGGACGCTTCAATATAAAAATGAGGAAGCAACTTGGCCAAGCAAAGCTCAGAACAAATATAAAGAGCCGATAAACTTGAAAAATGACCAGTATGAGAAATGCAACTCAAAATGAGAGATCAATTTTAGCCTATTCAATGGCAAAGATAAAAATGAAGACTATCCAGTGTTGATAGGGGTGAGAGAAATGAACAGTCACATTTGCTAATTGTTAATGGAGATAAAAATCAGCACAGTCCTTTTGGAAGGTACTTTGGCAAAATGTGTAACACTGTTTAACCCATCACTTTTACTTCTAGGAATTTATTTCACAGATATACTTGCACTAGTATCTAAACATATATGCGAAGATATTTACTTCAACATTATTATCCATCAACAGAATTGTTTAAATAAACTGTGATTAAAAAAAACAAAACATACTGACTAGCATATATAAAATAGATAAACAAGTTTATTCTGTATAGCACATGGAAATATATTCAATATCTTGTAGTAGCTTATGGTGAAAAAGAATATGAAAACGAATATATGTATATTCATGTGTGACTGAAGAATTGTGCTGTACACCAGAAACTGACACATTGTAAACTGACTATACCTCAATAAAAAATAAACCAAAAAAACCCAAAACACATGATAGAATACTAAAAAAAAATGTAAAAAATAAGGTAAAAGAACAAGGTTGATGTAAACAGACTAGCATGGGAAAAGAAACAGCCCACGACAAACTGCTCTGAGAAAAAAAGCAAGCTGCAAAACAGCATATAAAACAAAATTCTATTCTTACACAAGGAAAACTTACCTATGTATGTTAAAGTCTTGAAAGCAGAGATCAAAGTATACAATGGCAAAAAGTAGTGGAGAAAGAGAGGAGTAAGAGAAATTTTCATTTTCTATTTATTTTATATACAATTGCTTTCTGGTAGAAAATCACATATTACATCGTAAAAACAAAAAATACACCAATCCCACAGACAGCTGAAAAGAAGAAGAAAACTCAGCCTACCTGACAATCTTCTGTGGGGTAAAGTCTTCCAGGGGCGTCTCTGAGTAGGAGTCACTCACGTGAAATATGCTGACTCTTCCGATCTTCCCGAAGGGGAAGGAGACTGTCAGCCCCTCCTTGGGAGTCACCTTCACTACTCGGCCCATGGCCACTTCCCCTTTCTCAAGCTTGTGAGGACCTGGCAGGAGAATGAACCAGATTCATGGAAGGGGAAATGAGCCAAGAAAGAGGCTGGGATGCTGGCCAACCACAGGCCAGGGCAGGTGGGAGCACCAGACTTGGGGTGTCTGGGCTGAGTGGACCAGAAGGATCGCACAGACCCAGATCACCATGTCACGTGATCAGGAATCCCAGGGCCATGTGGTGGACAACCCGTTCTGAGACCTAAGAAGATCAACTATGTAGGTAAAGAGGACTCAGACACAGGCCACAGAGCAAAGCCCCGAGGGAAAAACTGTTCCAAGAACACACCCACCCACCACACTAGGCTTTCTGAGGACTCGACTCCAATACTGCAGGCATCCTTCACCCTGGGCAATGGCCGAAGAGCCCTTCCCGCTCCTTTCTACCCACTCCCTTCCTCGACCAGGTCCCATTTCAGTACCACACCTATGAGTGAGAGACACAAGAAGGCCTTGGAGGAATCTGGGCCAACCACAGTGGCCTTCAGGGCCTGGCCAATCCGGAACTTCTTATCTGGATGTTTCAGAACCTGAAAGGACAAAATTCCTCTAATGTTTGAGGAAAGGTCACAACCACAGCATTTAAGTCTGCATACTGAAGTATCTCCCAAACCAGTCCCTGAACAAGCACACGGTTCCCTGTAACCACTGTAAGCACACACCAGACACTGAATCAAGCTCAGGGAGCTGGCGTTTCCTCTCCAGGGATCTCAGGCACACTGACCTTGAAGCTAAGAGAAGTGAGCAACAACGGAATTCTCCCTCGGATGTCTGGAGCAATCTCCACCTCAAGCCATTTCTTAACCACATTGTACTGGGGGAAAAAAATAGGGGGAGAAATGGAAAAGGGCAGATACAAGCATCTTTTCTTTTCTCTTCATTAGAAGACTCTCCTAAAATCATAGGGCTGAAAGGGCCCTAATCCTACATTTTCCCAAGAAACAGGAGCCCACTCCTACATCCCATTGCCCCTGCCCAACCTCAGTTCTTGCAGGCTTCACTCAGAGTCTAGCTCAGATCCTTTGTGAGCCCAGCAGAACATGTATTCCTCCCAGTGCCTCAGCTGATTAGGAGCAAAAAGGACCTCAGAGATGTCCTCAAGCAGTAGGACCAATCCCACTGACCTCTGTTGCCTCCTCCAAGTTCAGTTGTGCCCAGTGATTGTTAACCATATTCAAGGACTAATATCTTATTTCTAAATCAATTTTGATTTCACTGTTGACACAGTGTTCTGCCCTAAATATATACCCCAATTTTCAAGTCAACTCAACAAAACATTTATCAAGCAGCCGCTACGCATATGGCATGACAGGGATAAATAAAAGCCAGGCCCTGCCTTCAAAGAGATTACAGTCTGCAAAGAATAAGTCAAATACACATAACTAGAGAAGCAAGCAGCATGCAGGAGTACAATACACTCGGGGACTATACGGGAAAACTAGTAAGGAGGGAGGGTTTTCTGTGCTGGTCCTTGAAGGGCTGTAGGCATAGGAATAGAGGGCACCCAAGTGTAGAAATAAAGACAAGAAGGGAAAAAGATAGAGGAGGGTTTCAGCGTGACTGGTACACCAGATTCGTGAGGTCAGATTATAAAGAGCCTTAAATCCACTCTAAGGCATCTTGGGTTTATGAATGTCTCTAGACAATAGGTAAGTAAACAGATCAAGCACCACGGACATAGACAGATGCTTATGGAGGAAGAATCTGGCAGTAGTGAAGAGAATTTATCCCTCAAGATCAAGCCCAGACCAACCTTCTCTCTGATTTGTATTCCATCTCGTACAGTTCTTATGGTCTCTTTCCCTTTAGTCAACTCCTGCCCACTTGGGGTTAGAACATACAATCTGGCACCAAATTACATACTGTTTTGCACTGTACCTGAACTTTACAAAAGGCAAGAATCTAAACTCCAATACTTTATTATAAATAAAATATTTCTGTTTTTATTGTGTGTGTGAATGTGTGTGTGTGTGTGTTCCGATAAAACTTTACTTGTGGACACTGAAATTTGAATCTTACATTAGTTAAAATAAAGTACTAGATTTAACATCTTGCTGTATAATCTTTCCATTTTGTACAATTAATGTATAAGCATGTGGAAATGTGAATTGCTTGCCAGCTGTTTTGTAAGCCATCAATTTAGCTCCTTGACAAGACTCGGAGTTTTCTAGGAGTGGAGGCTTTCTATTGTCTCCCACAAACCATCGTGGTAACAAACAGAATCAAAGCCTAGAGCTAACAGTCATTGACAGTTTCACCCCTTTTCTTCTGTAAGAAGGATGGCATCGCATTGCAGAGCATGCACTACTCACCTTCTTTAAGAAGCAAGTCACGGTCTGACCAGCCTGGTACTGTTTAATCTTCTCCAAGGGGCTAACAGAGTGAGTGTTGAGAGCAGTGTGGCCATCCTTCTCCAGCTCACTGTGCACAGAAAGATGATGGAAACAGTAAACCAACCTTTGGGTCAGCTTCCAGCTTGAAACCATCTCCCCTAAGCAGCCATGGATTAGTTGTACAGGATGCCCCTAACACAAGCACAACCACGCACACATCCATTTCTTTCCTTAAAGGGGAATGAATGAATGTTCACAATACCTGCATGAACGCTAATCCTTTCCAACTCACTCATTCAGGTATGAACAAGTCGTAAAGTAGGTAGCCAACAATAATCTTCATAAGTTTTCGGAATAAAATTGTTCTACTTCTTTCTTTCAGTATTTTAGCTACTGCTTTACAGTTCGCAGAACTGCTTTCACAAATCATCTCTCATTGAATGTGACAACACTCCCATGTTTGAAAATAGGGTTAGGTAAAATAGGTGTTATTAAACTCATTTTATGCTACTGGCCCAGGAGCTGAAGTCAGAGTTCTGACTCAAAAATCTAGGGCTCGGTCCCCTAGGCTACCGTGTCATTATCACTTGATTCTCTTTTTCTTCTCAGAAGAGCAACAAGGGATGTGGTCTAAGAGTTATCAGTCCACAAATCACTTCAAAGGAATCAAAGAATTTCCATCATTCCAACCCAGCCCTGCTTACCAATTCAAATTTCTAAAACAAAACAGAACTCACCAATAAAATGGTACAAGTAATACTAGTAAAACTGTAACATATAATAATAGCAAGTACTGGTGAATATAGAAACACAGGATTCTCACTAGTGAAGTTGAAATACACATGTTTTATGACCCAGTAATTCCACCCTAGAGAAATCCTCACATGGATGCACAATGGAACAAGTTGAAGGATGTTCACTGTGGCATTGTTTATAAAAGAAAAAAATTGGAAACAATCCTAAATGTCCTCCATCAGTTTGAGAATACACAGTTTGGCACATTCACAGGATGGATTACTATTTTAACTCAAGGCACAAAAATGAATGATCTTAAAACAAAATTTTGAGTGAAAAAAACAAGTTGCAGACTTGCAGAAAGTTACTATTTCTGTAAAATTTGAAAAAAGCACATAGTAATTTTTGTAGAGATGCATATATGTAAAAGTTCATATATATGTGTATATATAATTAAAGTATAGAAGCCAGAGCTAGATACACGTCGGATAATGGAGAATTCATCCTTTGGGGGCAGAGGGAGAAGCCTGGGAAGGGAACACTTCTCTGCCTGGCAGTCTAATAGACAATTTACATTCATTATCTACAATGCTTACATAGTTAGGATAAAAAAATTTATTGATTCAATAGCTGATACCAGAATGCCTCTGTGATGGGCTGAACTGTGTCCCCCACCCACCCTCCAATGTTGAAGTGAATAACCCCTAATACCTCAGAATGTGACTATTTGGAGATATGGAATTTAAAGAGGCAATTAAATTAAAATGAGGTCATTAGGGTGGGCCTTAATCCAGACTGACTGGTGGCCTTATAAGGAATTAGGCTACAACTCAATAACAAAAAAACAAATAACCCGATGGAAAAACAGAACTTGAGCAGACATTTCTCCAAAGAAGACACACAAATGTCTAAGAAGCACAGGAAAAGGTGCACAACATCACTAATGATCAGGGAAACACAAATCAAAACCACAGTGAGATATTAAACTCATATCTGTAAGGATGGCCCTTATCAAACAGAAAATAAGTTTTGGTGAGGATGTGGGAAAAAGTGAACCTTCCTTGTACACTGTTGGTAGTACTGTAAAATGAGTGTAGCTACTATGGAGAACATTAGGGAAGTTCCTCAAAAAACTACCATATGATTCAATACTCCCACTTCTGGGAATATATCAAAAATAATTGAAGGGGGAGGGTACAGCTCGGTGGTAGAGCACATGCTTAGCATGCACGAGGTCCTGGGTTCAATTCCCAGTATCTCCTATAAAAACTAATAAGTAAACCTAATTACCCCCTCAATAAAAAATAAAAATAATAATAATAATAATTGTAAATAGGATATCAAAAAGCTATCTGTATACCCACATTCAGTGCAGCACTAATCACAGTAGCCAAGATGTGGAAGCAACCTAAATGTCCATGATGGATGAATGGATAAAGACACTGCACATACATACAATGGAATACTACTCAGCCTTAAAAAAGAAGGAAATCCTGCCACATGCTACCACATGGATGCACCTTGAGGACATTATACTAAGTGAAATAAGCCTGTCACAGAAGGACTGTGCATGACTCCACTTATATGAGGTATCTAAAGTAACCAAACTCAAAGAAACAGAAAGCAGAATGATGACTGCCAGAGGCTCAGTCAGGGGAGGGGAAACAAAGAGTCACTCAGTGGGTCTAGATAGAGTTCCAGTCAAGCAAGATGAAAAAGTTCTAGAGATTTATTACATAACAACATGGATATAGGTAACAATACCATAATGTATGCTTAAAAACTGTTAAAAGGGCAAATCTATGTTGTGCTTTTACCACGATAAATTTTTTTTTAAAAGAGGAGATCAGAACACAGATACTTCCAAAGGGAAGAGCACTGGAAGACACTGGGAGAAAACAGCCATGTGCAAGCCAAGGAGAGAGGCCTCAGCAGAACAAACCCTGCTGGTACCCTGGAGCTCAGACTGACAGCCTCCAAAACAGTGAAAAAATAGACATCTGTTGTTTAAGCTAAAAAAGATAAAACTAAAACACACACACACATCGAGTATGTGTCATTCCTTTTTTTTTTCCTCAAAATGACTTTAAACTGCCTCTCTAAAGAGAATAGCCACAAGAAAAAGAAGGGTGAGCATAACTGATCAATGCTAAGAAAAAACTCATTGACCAGAAGGAATCCCAGAGATCCACCTAAAGACTCCTGAACTGCTCTGCTCTCCTAACTCCTGCCCGTCCAAAGGAGGAACTGATGAGGGAGTATCTTATCTAGCTTGGGTGACCTCATCAACCCTGAACTGATCTCTAGGACACACAACATGCTCTCTGGGCACAAGGTCTCCATATACAAAGGGAGAACAAAAATAGGACTACATCTCCTCAGTGAGTCAACACCATCGATTGATTAAATATTTTTTCTCTTGACTTCAAAGTACGTTATTTTAAAACACAAAGCATTTGAAAAATATGGCATAATACGACTGTATGTTTGTACTGTTTCTCAGGGGCTTTGATTAAAAGAATAATTAACAATACAACACAGGTGCATGGAAGAGGTGGAAGATGTGCCATCACTTTACTTGTCCATCTGTCTGTCTGTTGTTACAACTCTCCATCTCTCATCTATGAATGTACTCGTTTCCTGGCGTGGCCCACACTGCCACAGTCAGGTATCACCACTCTGGCTCACATCAGTCTCCCAAGACAGGAGGGTGAGCCAAAAGCAGGGGTAGTTAATGAGGATCGCAGGGAGTTGTCACACAATGTTCACCGACTCACCCTTGCAGTATTCATTAATGTGAGATACCCACCCTTAGCGTGAATAAACGACTTGACCTCAACCATAAGTTAAACAAGACCTCACACCTCAGAGGTGAGGACACTGCAGACTAAAACAAGGAATACGAGGAGGTGCCTTGTTTTGATAACAAAGGGACACAATCATATCTACAAGAATACGGAAACCACAGATTAAATAAATAAGAATGTGTGCATCCACCAAATCTCATTATTCTGGAACTAACAGGCTCTCTGTGAAGTCCCAAGAGTGCAGTTAGCATTTAGAATCAAGCTTCCAGGAGTATTGCCAGACCTCAGACACAAGCCTTCTCAAATATTCCACTTGTATCCTGACCCTTTCAGGACACTGACCAAACTTTATCCTCAGAAAGGTCCTTAAGACATAATTACAAGGTCCTTCCGTAACAGCCCTCGGCACAGAAGACCTACAACCTGGGTCGGTCCCGGGGCTGACCGTGCAGAGACACGTGCACAGTCATGTGTATCCAGCTTCATTCACTGATGGCCTAACAACTCTTGAGAGGCTGGGGTTTCTTTTGTTTGTTTTTTGTTTATAAATGGGGGAAGTAGAAGCAGATAAGCCCATGGGTCAAAATGCTTAAGATCCTCTGAAAAAAATGATCCCAGACAAGTTGGACTCACTGCTACATGGAACTATCAGTTCTACTAGTCCACACAGAACCGCTTGTGGAACACCCCTCTGCAGAATTCACTAGAATATGGCCTAAAACTTCAGTCAGCAAGCAGTAATCTTCATTCAAGCAGGCATCCTTGGCTACACGGTGTTAGAAAAATACTGAGTTCTAGAAAACTGGGTTGAAAGCAAAAATGTTTCTTTTTGTTACGTGCCAACAAACAGAACTACAATCAGCCTTTAAATTGATACTTAAACCCTGAATACAGATCTTACGTTAATTTCCATATAATCCCTCTAAGTAGCCCCATGAGAGCCAAACATCCCTACTAGAGAAATAAGACAACCTGGACAGACAGAGGCAAAGCAAGTCACCATCACCGTGCTGACAACTCAGCTCCTGACTCCAAAGCCCACTGTCCTCGCCACGAGAACGTGCTGCTGGAGTTCTCACCTTGGCCGGACACTCAGCTCCGGGATGGTTCGAATAAATCTGGGATGACTTATTGGGAGAAACCTGGAAAGACAAATAGGGTTCAAACCACTTCTCTTATTCTCTGTAACACTGTAACTTGGAGACCAAAATTTCTAACTCCCCACCAAACCAAGCCACACCACCCACCGGTAATGTGTCAGGCCCAAGTGTTTCCATTCTCATCCTCTGCAGTAAATATTAAGAAGCTGGCTCATTTGATCTTTTTAGGCTCACTGATCATATTAAACCCTGAAAAGAATTTTCTTTACAGACTACATACTCCAAGTCTTCCACTCTAAAAATAAGAAAACTGAGGTCCAAGGAGAATAAGTGACTTAAGTGAAGATCCCACAGTTACTGAAATGAATATGCAAATTATTGGCTAGGCTTTGAATTCTGTTTTTGCTTTTCTTACAGCAAGTATTTTTACTCCAATAACGTAACTAGATTTAAACTAAATGAGTGTAACTAAAGTATGCAGTGGAGGATGAATTACAGTAACTGCTGATACATACTAAGCAATAACTATGTGTCAGACACCCCACTAGGCACATTACATGCTAGATATTCTTTCTTTCAATCTTTACAATGGCCCGGCGAGCTAGTCACTATCATTACTCTCACTTTACAAACTAGGAAAATAAAATTCAGAGAGTTGAGTAACTACTTAACTCAGTCACATAATTTTGAGTCCAAAATTCAAATCCGGAATCCAAACCCAGGTCTGACTCTAAATCATTGCTCTTAACCACTACATTATACACTATTAAAAAGCAAAGACACACAAAAGGATTTTCTGAATGTTTTGGTTAACTAAAAGAAAGTCTCATTTGTTCCAATTCCTTCCTTCATGATTACAGCAACCTCCCCTCAAAGGCAGTCCACCCCCAAAGCCTCCATACTTGAATGTCTTCATGTCTCTCCCGCCAATCACTCGGGCAGTGATCTTTTTCCCAACTTTCAGCTTGGAGGTAGGAGCTGTCCCCACTGGAACATCATCGAGAATGTGGGAGGCGTGGATACAGCCAATGATGCCATCTTCCAGGGTCACAACCACATGGGCGGGCTTAATGGACTTGACAGTCCCTGTGACCACGTCCCCAATGGACAGGGTGTGCTTCTTTATAGTCCCTACAACCAGAGCCGGATCCACTTCCTCATCCTCGTCGACTGTTTCAGAGTCCTTCCGGGTCTTTCTCATGGTCCTCTTAGCAGCTGGCCCCTCAACGGCCAAAAGAAGACCGGTCACCCCCGGTTCTGTGGTCTCGAGGGTTAAAGAGACACCCTGTCCCACCTGCAACTTTTCTGAGTCAAAGTGGAAGGTGTCATTGAGGTGAGAGGTCAGGGAGAAAGCTGCTAGGTGGCCAGTCTCTACCAAGGAGGCAACAGCAAAGGACTCCTCCAAGTGCTGCACGATCGCCTGGTGCTCACTGCCTTTCTTCAGCTGGAAAACAGAAAACCCACTGTCCCTGCTTCTTACAGAGCACAAGCACTCGTTTGTCACCCACTAGGCAGGGTGAGACCAGGGAAACCCTCTGAGTCCCAGGGACCCAAGGCTAACCCGAGCTGTAACAAACTAGCCTTCACTCCCTCGACCCAGCTTTCCCCTCCTGTACACTGAGGTGACTTGGCTACACTCAGGGCACCACATCAGAATCTCCTGGAGTTAACTTCTGTTTTGAATTCAGATTCCTAGGTCCTATCCTAGAACTAGTGAAATGAGAACATTAAAAGTTATTTTAGTGACTGATGTAAAGTCAGGCGACCTCTAATGGTTCTCCAACTTTAAGACACTATGGCTCCTGATCCTCTTAGTCCTACAAGCAGTTCACACAATTTATTCATCCTCAGTCATTCAGCAGAGTCATTACTGGGAGCTTACTGGGCACAAGGCATTTAGCCTGTCTTTCCCCAACATCCAGACTGTGCTCACGGCCCTACATGCACCAGCTTCACCTGGATGATAAAATGGAATAGGGACCTGCTAGAAAGCTTAGTGAGGGGTAAATACTGTTCTCTATTTCTGTTGTCTCTCAAAGCCTTAAAACTATAAGCAACCAGAGGTTAAGGATTACACCTATATAATTCTCTGTAGCATACCTTATGCAATTAGGAGCTTAATAATTACTTTAAACAATGACAAAATACGTACTTTACCCAAAGAAAAATTCCACTCATTATTTTGAGATTTCCCTTGAACCCATTCCCTTCCCACACAAAGTGAATAGGACACAGATGAGCAGCCCGGAGGTCAGAACTACACATACACATGCTTTTT